TTCCTCGTGACGGGGGCTGTGCTGTGCTTTGCGGGATGCTGGGCAGCATTTCTGGTCTCTCCCCACTAGATGCCAGAGCATCCCCAGCTCTGACAACCGAAGACGTCTCCAGACGTTGCCAAATGTCCCAGTGGGTAGGGGGTATGGCTGCCAGATTTAGTGATACATATTTATCCCAAAAGATTATTGTTTATGTTAAATTTGAATTTAACTGTGTGACCTGTGTGTTATCCGGCAATCCTACCTGGGAGGCAAAGTCGTCCGGCTTGCTTCATCAAGAGCCCCTGGGTTGGAGGGACACAGTCACGTGGCCCTAGGGCTAACATCCCTTGTTTTCCCTCTTGACTTCCTCCAGCCTTCTCAGCAAGTCCCACCCGCCTGCCCCGAGCGCCCACTCGGGGGTGGGGAGGCTCAGCTCCCCAAACCAGCCCAGCTCAGCCGCTGTGATGACAGCTCCGCAGGAACAGCCCTCGCGCCGGCTCTGGGAAGCAGAGCTAAACACGGCTTCCTCTCATCCCCAGCCTCTTACCTGGGGTCTCTCCGCCGACCCACAAGCCCCCACCTCCTCCCCTCCAGTTAGGAGGCCACTGAGCAGGCCCAGCCAAGAGGCAGGAAAACAACACAGTTAGTCACTTTGCTTCCGTTATCAACCCGCGTCACGTGGCTGGCTCCTTTAATGGCAGTCGTCATGGCAACGGGAAGCCAGTCCCCGCTGCTCTGGGAACCAAAACAAAATTAAAGGGGTGGAGGCGGGGAGGGGCAAGGAGGGGAGGGCTAAGCGAGCCAGGAAGGAGCCAGCAGAGAGTCGGCTGGATTTGACTGGAGGAAATCATGCTGAGGCCATCCTGTCCCCAGCTGTCCCTGGGGAGGGAGACAATTGAAAAAAGAAAAGGTTCCTGTCCTGGAGAAGCTCAGGCTAACATGGTGGTTTCACATGGTTTATACTGACAGGTGAGTAACTGTCATCCCCATTACAAATAAACTAGAACCCAGACATGTGTGAAGGTAAAGACAGATGCTTGTCCAAGATTGCACAACTGACGAGCAATCGGTTTCAGCTCCACCCTCTTCTTCCCATATTCCTCATGTCCTCCCCACTCCTTTCCTCTTGCTTTTAGGATAGGACCACATGCTCTGCCCCTCTGAGTGCAGCCCTCTGCCCTCCAGCCATTTCCGAGTCCCCGCCACCACCACCTGCATTCCTCCAAGTTCGTGGTACTCCCTCCCACTACAAAGTCTTTGCGTGTGCAGTTCCCTCTGCCAAGAACTGTTTTCCCTCTATCTCTCGCTACCTCATACCTTCACCTAAAAAGCCTACTTATCCTTCACACAGCTTCTTAAAACACCACTTCCTCCAGGAAGCCTTCCTGAGCCACCTGCATGCAATTACATCTCCCGGATACATGCTCTTGTAATGCCAAGTGATGCTTGCTTCTCCTCCAGATCTTGGTGCACAGCCTGCAATTATCCTTTTAATTACATTACCCTTGGGATGTCTGTCAGGGTCTGTCCACCATACTGGACTGTCAGCCCCAAGAGGACTCAGCCAATCTAGTTCACCGTGGGATCCGCAGAGCCCAGCCAAGTCAGCACTCGACAGAGCTTCCAGCCTCCCAGCCTCTGCCGGCCTACGTGGCTTCAGTGGCTCCGACAAAAGCTTGCAGACCCGCCTGGCTTATCTATAGAAACTCACTGTTAAGCTGCCCCATTCCAAAAAGGATGGGAGGCACCTCTGGGCGAGGCTGCGACAAGGTATATGGCTTTGAACCCAGAGGGTACAGAGAAGGAAGACTTGACTTGACTCCTAGTTTTCTAAGCAAAGAGCTCCCCTTTGCCTTCCCACTGGAGATGCTCCCCAAAGAGGTGGTCAGAGGAAGGAAAGGAGAGAGGAGGGCTGCTTTGGGGTGTGTGTGGCTGGATTTGTCTCCATATCCTTGGTGGGAGGGTACCCATGCTGAACAGAGGGCTCAGAGACAGAAAACTGTTCCCCTTTACTGGTTCTGTGTCCCTGAAACATCGCTCACTCTCTCTGGGCCAGTTTTCTCATCTGTAAAATGGAAATTATACCACCCACACACGCTGAGATTGTGGTGCCGTGTAGACGTGGATGGGCATGTTTGTTATTCAGGGGGTAAGAGCCTGGCTCTGATGCCAGACCAGGCTTGGGAGGGTCTGTCCCTTCTGGGCTGTGTGCTCATGAGGAACTCACCCTGTGAGCCTCAGTTTCTGTGTCTGTAAAATGGGGACAACCTCACCTAGCTCATAAAAATACTGTGCACACAGGATATGGCTTAGAGTAGCCTCCAGGAAGTGGAAGCACTAATTACCAAAATGATGAGCCCTGAGAAATGCAAAATTTAGAAACAGCCATCAGCTTGCAAAGTCCTGCCCTCTGATTGCACTTCAGAGTCAATGGATACTTGAGTTCTTTACCAAACTTGCAAGGTCTGCCTCTGCACCCCCACCCACCCCTGCCCAGGTATCAAGCAGGATGCCAAGCGGTCCCTCAGACCAGGAGATGGCCTCAGCCTCAAGTCAGGCAGAAAGCTCACCCCAATCGCCAAACTCAGCGGCTCACAGGAGAGAAAATGCAGCCCTCAACCACCAGGGGGAAAGTGTCCCCCACACCCTGGCCAATAGCCCAAACCAGACTGACATGGATGGGACCTCCAAGGACACTGAACCAATGCTTCCTCCCCCAGACACGGAGAAACTGAGTCCCGGAGAGGGGAAGGAACTCATAAGGGCATTGAGGGAGTTGGTGGCTGAGCTGGGTTCAGAGCCCCAGCTGGAGGCCTGCCCAGAGCCAAAATCACTCCCCACAACATGCTCACAAGCTCTTCTGCTTCTGGCCCTGCCCCAACCCCCCCCCCCCCACCCCAGCCCCTGACCCTCAGTGGGACCATTTCCTTAAAAACACAGCGTTCTGGGTGAAAAGACCTGGAGAGCACATAGAACACCTGGGTTTAATGAAACAACAAACACAAAAATTGCAGGTTTTTACTCTGAAGGCTTTTGGAGGGGGCGGTCTATACCCACTCTCCCCTGAAACAGTCATCTGAACGTGTAGCTTTCGATGGCAAGAGGGTCTAGATAGATCTCTCTTCAGGCCCCCATAGGGGTCTCTGTGAGCGTAAAAGATCTGGGCCTTTCTGAGGGTTCCCATGTAGCCTGTATGTCTCCTTATTCAGAGACGCTAGAATGTGCAATCAGCCTGGAGCTGATTCTCTCAGCAACAGTGGGACGTGCCACACACGGAGACACACACACAGACACACGCCCACGCTCCCCGAGGGGGAGGGGCTGCAACAGGTCCCGGCCGGTGGCCGCCCTCGGTGGCTGGCTGGCTGCCGCCATGCAGGGAGGGCCTTTTGGGGGGTCAGCACTGTCCCCAGATGCTGACACCCTCCACGCACACGGAGGCACAGGGCCAAGCCAGCCCCCGAGGTCCGCGGCCACTCCTGGCCGAGAGCTGAGTGCTCAGAACGCAGCGGTGAGGCAGGCTCGGCAGCGATGGGGTCCCAGGTGGTGGGGTGCGGGGTGACATGGGGGGATGCGCACACACACACACACACACACACACACACATGGCCACAGCCTCACTCATCCACACACAGACTCACGCCATCCCATGCCACTCGCTCAGGCAGAGCCACAGGCTCACTCATTCACAGATTCCTGCATCACACAGATACAATCACAATCAGAGAAGCAGATAAACGCACAGATGCACGGACACACAGAGGTACACTTAGGTATCTCCAGGGAGACACGCGGATGTGCTCAGATACACATACTCACAGCTACACGTCTTCACCCCCACAGGCATGTGCATGTACACACACACACACAGTCCTCACAGGCATGTGCGTGTACACACACACACACAGTCCTCACAGGCATGTGCGTGTACACACACACACACAGAGTCCTCACAGACATGTGCGTATACACACACACACACAGAGTCCTCACAGACATGTGCGTATACACACACACACACAGTCCTCACAGGCATGTGCGTGTACACACACACACAGAATCCTCACAGACATGTGCGTATACACACACACACACACAGAGTCCTCACAGACATGTGCGTATACACACACACACACAGTCTTCACAGGCATGTGCGTGTACACACACACACACACACAGTCCTCACAGGCATGTGCGTGTACACACACACACACACAGTCCTCACAGGCATGTGCGTGTACACACACACACACAGAGTCCAGGTATCCAAGTGCTTCCCTAGGCACCCATCACTCTAGACTCTTGCTCTGTGAAAAGTCATGAACTATTAACTCTGAGGCTAGACTGGGCTAACCCCAGGGAGAGTGAAGGGTCAGAGGGGAGCTGAACCCTGACTAATTCTCACCCTCCTGCCAGGGTCGGGTGGGTGGGGGGTTCGGGGACCCTGCCTGCCGGGAGAGCAGGCACACATGCCTACAAGTGGAGTAACCCACTGGCCTGGGACTCTCAGGGAGGGGGTGCCCTGGCTCCTAGGGGTGGCTCCAAGGACTGAATTTAGGGGAGGGGTGTGTGTGGGAAGCTTTATTTTCCCAAACTGAATTTCGCCCCCCTTCAGGAAGTCTGGTCCTCTGCCTGCAGCCCTATCCAGGCCTCCCCGACTCAGCAAGCCCAGTCAGCAGCACCCCCCACCCAGGTGCGTTCCTCACCTTGATGAGACCCACCCACCTGCTCCTCCACAAGAGGGGGGCCCTACCGAGACACATCCAGGTATGCCCCCCACCCGGAGGGCCCTCACGCGGCAGCTGCCCCTGCGCACAGCATAAAACACCCAGGGCCCCCCTACCCCCCTACTCCCACCCCCAAACTCACCTGCTTCTAGCCCTGCGGGAGGTTAGCCCCCACCCAGGCGGGCCCCCCACCCCAGCTGGCCACGCGTCCTTTGGAGACGCTTCCCTGGGGGTGGCTGCGGCGGCCCCCTCCCCCGGGGGTCGCGCCGCCCGCCTCCGCCCGGCGCTCACCTCCTTCTTGACGGTGCGCAGCAGCCTCTGCCGGGTCTCCGCCTCTGTGGGGTGAGACGGGAGGGCGGCCGTTCAGCCCGCGGCTGGGGGCCGTGCTGCGGAGCTGCCCTCCCGCCGCCCCCGCACCCTGCGCCCCCTTACCCGCCAGCCCCGAAGCCATGGCTGCGCGCGGCGATCCGAGTGCGGGTGGCGGCGGCGGCGGCTCCCGGGCGCTCCACTCGCCTGCTGCAGCCGCGGCGGGGCGGGGCGGGGCGAGCGCCGAGTGACGGTCCAGGCGCCAGACGTCAGGCCCGGCCGCGGCCGCCCCACCCTCCCGGGAGCCACGCAGGGCCGCCCAGGTCCTCCCGGAGGCTCCTCCCCGCCCGACACAACACCCTCGGGCCCGCGCGTCCCGAGGAGCCGGCGCCTGCACCTCCCTCCCAAGGGGAAACCCATCACCACCACCACTTCCATGCCCACCCTCCTTCTATGGGGCCGGGAAGGACAGCATCATTTACTCACTGTCTGCTGTGTGCCTGGTTCAGGTGTGGCGGTGGCGGGCGGGGGTGGGGGCTACTACCGACAGTCTCCTAGCCTGTTTTCTCCTCTTTAAAATGGATATAGTATGATCACCTCATAGGAATGATATGAGACTTAAATGAAGTCCTGAATGTAAAGCACTTAGCACACATCTAGGGGGAAAAGGCCAGAAACCATAAGGGTAGTTGTGCTGCTATACTATTATTATTGCTACTAGGACCACTGTAGGCATACTTCTTTTCATAGTGCTTTGCTTTACTGCACTTTAGGGATTTTGTGGGGTTTGCTTTTTACAAATGGAAAGTTTGTGGCAACCCTGTATTCAGCAAGTCTATCGGTGCCATTTCCCCAGGAGCATCGACTCGCTTTGTGTTTCTGTCACATTTTGGTAGTGCTCATAATATTTCACACCCTCCACCAGCAAAAAGACTGACTCCTCCATGAAGTCGCTGATGACGGGCTCCCCAGGTGGCGCTAGTGGTAAAGAACCCGCCTGCCAATGCAGGAGACATAAGAGACACAGGTTCCAACCCGAGGTTGGGAAGATCCCCTGGGGAAGGGAATGGCAACCCACTCTGGTAGTCCAGTATTCTACCTCCACTCCAGTACATCCAGCTGTGGATCCAGAGTCCCCTCTTTTCCATTTGTCAGTGTTGGGGGGCCTTTGGCCACAAGCCACAGGTGCTGATTTTGGCTAACTTTGCAAAAGGGAATAGACTGGAAGGATAACAGTCATTCCCAGAGGCCAAGGGAGGCTGGAGGACTCAGAAACAGGGTGAACCCAAGGCAGTGCTGGAAGGACAGCAAGAGAGACTTGAACAGTCATCTGACAGAGACAGGGTGTTTAGGGCACCACCACTGAGGTGACATAAACTCCATCTATTTAAGGTCCTATTGCAGAAAGGGAGCATCTGATTGGTCTGGCCTGGATCACACCTGCCCCTTGCTGGGGGAGGGAAGCCTCATTCACACCCCACCATCTCCAGCGCAGGTGTGGTGGGTCCCCTTGGAGCCCAGAGAATAGGAAAGTTTCTTGTTAGCAAAAATACGTAACAACCAAGTGAACAGCAGTCAGAATTCTGACCTCAGGGCCCAAGGGACGGATCCAGGGTTTCTCTCCTTGACTGTGCCCCTAAGATGATGGAGTTAGTTTAGAAAAGCAGGGCACCGAAGCCCCACTTTGGTGTCTGTTTCCTAAAACCCGTGTTTTTCCTTCTCCCGCGTGCGTGTGTACTAAGTCGCTTCAGTCGTGTCCAACTTTTGGCGACCCCATGGACTGTAGCTCGCCAGGCTCCTCTGTCCATGGGGTCCTCCAGGCAATAATACTGGAGTGCGTTGCCATTCTCTCCTCCAGGGGATCTTCCCAATCCAGGGATGGAACCCAGGTCTCTTTGGTCTCCTGCACTGGCAGGCAGGTTCTTTACCACTAGCACCACCTGGGAAGTTTTCCTTCTCCTAAGCTCAAAGCATGGGAAGGTGATTTGTACTGATCCTTTGAACACCTGGAGCTTTTCTTTCAAAAGGAAGGATTGGATGAAGCCTGCTTTAGTGGCAACAGGAAGATGGGCATCTATGGGACCTGGATTTGCTCAGGTTTTTGGACCCGGCGCTTGGCTCTCTCTGCTGCAGTTAGACCACTCACCACTAGGGGCGCTGGCACCGCAGGTCAGCTTGGGGAGTCGCAATCTCCCTGAGATCAGAGCAGGAAATCTTTCCTGGGTCCCAAAGCCCTCTTCATGGTCTGAAAATCCCACCATCTGACTCACTGCTACCTAGGTTTTGTCCCATACCTGTGCAGCTGACCACTTGTGCAACTGCCAGAATCAGTGAAGGCCTGTTCCTCCTGCAGTGTCACTTTAGTGCCCTCTACTGAGAAAACTTAGCATCGTGCTCAGAATAAAGGAGACGACATTATCTCAGTTCTGACTATTACCGAGAAGCCTCCGTTGGGCTCTGGGAAAACCCATTTTCCCTCCAGTTTATTGCCTTTTGCTTAAGTTAGCCAAAGGCAGCTTCTGTGGCTTATGGCCAGCGATCCACAAACAGTTCCATTTATTACTGAAGAATGAATTTGGAATTGAAAAGCAATACACTGGTCACTGGTACAATGGTACGGCCTCATTGTGAAGCCACCGAACTACAGTTTACTCTTACTTGCAGTTGAAAACATTGTGCTAATAAAATTATTCCGTGTAATGTGTTCGTCTGTTTCTATGAACATGAATCGGAAAAAAAAAAAAAAAAACCTGACCTACTTTTCCACTTAGAAAATGAACCTCTCTCTATGTCAATATATGCAGATCTCAATCATTCCAGACACGTGGGAGAGCAGGTGGAAAGGCTCTGGGGTGGGAATGAGCATATCTAGACGAAGAAGAGAATGGATGCGGTGGAGACTGTAACACAGTCAGCGCTTAAGGCTCTTCCAGTCCATAACTCCTTAAAAAAGCCCAAGAGAACCTTGATTTTCTTCTTACTTTCTCATCCCACATTCTCTCCACCAGCAAGCCTTTTAAATTTACTGTGGCAATATTCACATAACATTCACCATTGTAACTATTTTAAACTGGACAATCCAGTGGCATTTACTCCCAATGTGGTGAGGCCATCACCACTCTCTAGTTCCAGAACACTTCTTCACCTCAAAAGGAAACCCTGTGCCCATTTAAGCAGCCTCTCCCCATCTCCCTCTTCCCCACAACTTTTGGCAACCATGAATCTGCTTTTTGTACCTATGAGTCTGCCTATTCTGGAGATTTCATGTAAATTAAATGATTTTATATGTAGCCCTTATATCCAGCTTCCTTGACATACCATAATATTTTTGAGATTCATCCATGTTACAGCACATACTAGTTCTTCATTCCTTTTGATGACTTAAGAATATTCCATTGTGTGGACATACCTACATTTTGTTTCTCCATTCATTAGTTGATGGACATCTGGATGGTTTCTACCTCTTGGCTGTTATAGAGTGCTTCTATGAATAGAGCTGTAAATATTGGCATAGAAGATTTTATGTGGACAAATGTTTTTAACTTGGGCATTTGATACCTAGGAGTATAATTTCTGGGTGCTACAGGTTAAGAGTTTATGTTCTCTTCAAATTTACATGTTGATACCTAATCCCCAGTGTGACAGTATTTGGAGGTGCGGTCTTTGGAGGTGATTAGGTCAGGGGGATGGATCCCTCATGAATGGGATTAGTGTCCTTATAAGAGATCCTAGAGAGCTCTTTGGCCTCTTCCACCATGTGAAAACACAGCAAGAAGACAACCATCTAGAAATCAGGAAGTAGCTCTCATTAGATACTGAGTTTGTCAGTGTCTTGGTCATGGACTTTCTAGCCTTCAGAACTGTGAGAAATAAATCTCTTTGTTTATAAGCCAACCAGTCTGTGGTATTTTGTTTTAACAGTCCAGACTGACAAAGACATGGGCCATTCTATGCTTAATGTTCTGAGGAGCCTCCATATTCTTTTCCATCGTGACTGTACCATTTCATATCACTACCAGCAGTGTATAAGGATTTCAATTCTTTTCACATCCTTGCCAAAACTATTTTCCTTTTTAAATATTATAGTCATCCCAATGGGTGTGAAGTGGCATCTGACTGTGATTTTGATTTGCATTTTCTTAATGACTAATGATGTTGCACATCTTTTCATATGCCTGTGAACCATTTGTATAACTTTTCCAGAGAAATTTTATTCTAGTCTTTTGCTCATTTTAAACCAAATTGTCTTTTTGTTGGTGAGCTGCATGAATTCTTTATGTATTCTGGATGCTAGACTCTTATTATACATATAATTTGCAAATATTTTCTCCCATTCTGTGGGCTTTTTTCTTTCTTGACAGTGGCCTATTGAGATAGTGCAAAAAAGTTTTAAATTTTTATGAAGTCAAATTTATGTATTTTTTGTTACTTGTGATTTTGATGCCATATCTAAGAAACCATATCCAAAACCAGGATTATGCCTACTTGCCCCTATGTTTTCTCCTAAGAGTTTTATAGATACAGCTTTTACATGTAAGTCTCCAATCAGAGATGTGCCTATGAGTGAGGCCTGGAGAGGATGGGAGGGAATCAAAAATGTTCCAGATGGTCTCCGAAGGCTCCATGATGCCTGGCTCCTGTTTCACAGCCATGGCCTTCTGCACATCAATTCTTATTCTCATCTATAAAATGGGAGAGGTGTTAATTTTACTTGTCTATTCATCTCCCAGTGCACCTGTGAGGATAAGAATCAAATGACCTCATGTTTATGGAGGTTCTTGGTGTACATAGGATCATTAATTTACCGAAGTAATACAATTATGTTATCGAGCTGCTAAAGCAGATCTCAGTCAAGGCTTTTGGGAGAGAAAAGACACTCGCTCTGAGTCACTTAAGCTGATGGAAGGACACGGGGGTGGGGGGGGGTGGATTTGATAGAAAAAAAGGACAAGCCAAACAGCAGTATCTCTGGCTGCGTGAGGCTGATTGATTTTCTCTTGCTTTGTATGGCTCCCTTCTCTCTGCCGATGGGTCCTGTTCCCTTCACTGACGTAAGGGAAGGGAGACTTACTCTGAATTGTGCACTCTCTCCAGCAGTGTGCTTTTTAAAAAATTATTACAAACATATGTTACCTTTTCACAAAATAGAAAATAATAAGGATAATAATAAAAAATGATGGGGTAGGATCTCAGCAGGAATTGGAAGTACTGGCCTATTTTGTGAATCGTGCCTCCTTGTGAATCAGCTACTCCTCCAGGAAGGCCTGGTTTCTTTGTTTGGAGCGTGGCTTTTAAAACTAAAATCTGGGCATTAGGTGTCTTCTGTTCCGCCTTATTCTGCCTCCCTCCTTCTCTTCACACTCTCTTTGAGGTCTTGGGATTCCAGTTTCCTGGAGGGATGCACAGATGGGAGATAAGTTTGTGTTAGAAACAAAGACAGACCAGAGGCATGGTCCAGGATGCAGGAACCTGAGCTCTGGCTGCTTCTGAGCAAACTGTTCTT